ACCCCCCAGGTCCAGGACTTGAACCATGGTCGGCCATGTGGGAGTCCAGCGTCCTTAACCACCACGCCACCTGCCGGCCCCATGTTTTCAAGTCCTGCTCGATATCCTGGCAACTCTGCACCCATGCCCTGATGCAGTGTCCTCACCAGCCTCAAAGTAGACAGACGAGCCGTGTGCTCCCCCTGCACACCCAGCACAGGGCAGACGTGCACGTGACCCTGCCGGAGCTAGCTTGGACGCTGGTGGTGTGTGGGGGACCCAGAGCTCCCTGGTTCCAGCCCAGTACTAGTCATCTCACAGAATTCTAGAAGCTTCAACACTGCCATCAATTCCTGCCTGAGACAGGAGAACCAACGATCCGATTTGGCATATGGAACGTTGCACAGAGTATGTGGGCATTTTTTTTTCCTTACAAAGGGAGTTTTGAGCCAGTTTTGAGTGTAAGCAGCAGTAAATAGCACGGCTCCCTCTGTCATGGCTCAGGGCCGAGCTCTGGAGCTGGTCTGCTTTCGTGCAAATCCCAGCTCTACCCCTCGGGCACGTTTCTTCCCTGCTCTGTGCCTCAGTTTCCTCATCGGAAAAATGGGGGTAAATCCTCACTGACTTCATGGGATCATTGTGCGGATTAAACAGATCCTGGGAACAGCGCCTGCCTTGGAGCAGCTCACGGCAAATGTTAGCTATTATTTTTATTACTCCGAGATGCATGGGCATGAGAAGGCAGGACGCTGGGGCGCTCCCAGAAAGCCCAGATGTAAAGTCTGTGATGATTGCCAAATGAGGATTACCATTTAAAAGCCCTGCCTCAAATCTGTTCCTGAGTGAGGTGGGCATGAGAGCTGCAGGCCACTGCACAGGGGAGACTGGGGGCCAGGCTGCTCAGAAGGGCTGCCCAGTGCTTGGAGACAGAGGCACAGTCATGAAGGACAGGAGCATCCCGCGAGCAGAGGGGAATGTAGCTGACTTCTTCAGAAATTGTGAACTAGGGCCAGCTGATGGCATAGCAATTGGGATGACTGGATGCACAGGGCCGACAGCGCAGTTCGAGTCCCGGACCTGGCAGCTCGAGAAGCACACCTGGAGTATGAGTGTGTGTGCCCAGGGCCCCTGAAGGAGGAGGGATTGGTGTGCCATGCCCCCTGGAGGGTACTTTCTCACTTTCCCTATCTCTCAGCCTCTCTCCAGTGAGTGCACACACTTTCCATGGCAAATTTTAAAAATAAATGAAATAAATTTAAAAAAGAAATTGCAGAACTCCCGCTGGGGCAGGGGGTCCATGGGTGAGGTTGGAAACCAGGAGGACTTTTGAATTTGGAGCTGAGATGCCCATCCTTCCCAGATGCCCTCTTCTCACCTCCAGATAAGGCTCCGATTGGGAGAGAGCCTGCTCAGGGGTTTGTGCCTGGGAAGGATCAGCTGAGGCTTGAATCCGGGTCCAAGCAGCCCAGGTCCGCTCT